TCTGGCAGATTTGGCATTTTCCACAGATCTGCCAGTTTTGGTTGATTGGATAGATTTTGAAGATCTGCTAATTTTAGCTGATTGGATGGATTTTGTGACAAGGTAAAAATCATGTGATCTATAAGATAACTTTTTAATTTATTACATTATAATGTTAGCCAAAATTATCTGAATTTTACTACGCCTTAAGTTTTGAGTACTTTCTTGTTTCTTTCTTGCAACTTTTTCATTACTTTTGAGGGATATTTGCAGGATATTGTAAGCACTTCTAAGGCATGATTATGGTTTAAACTGGGTCGAAGTAATAAGTATGCTATTTTTGTCATTATGGAATCTCTTGTCACTATGAAATTTCTTATCACTAAAAAAAATTGATAGTAACGCTCTTGGTGACACTCTTCTATGCTTTTTTAAAAGTTTAAAAACTTTTGATTATCTTTCTTTATATCTGTCACTTTACCACTAAGAGTTATTAAGAAAAAGTAAAGTTATAGGAAAAAAATTGAAAATTTTTCATACATCCATATAACGCATACATCACAGGAATTTTTTCACGCATCCTCATAACAAAAAAAATAAAAAAGTTAAGAAGTCTAATTTTTCTTAGTGACTTTTAGTAACATAGTGACACCTATCTGAAAACCTTTCGATGGCTCTAAAAATGTGAAATAGCTATAAATTTTGTCATCAAAAGTGTTCTCAAAAATGTCACCAAAAATTTTTTTCTTTGTGATAAGAAATCGGAAAAACCGTATCCTTAGGATATGATCGGAATGCTTTTATTTATACTTAATTATCCACTAGTCCCTATATCGAAGCTAAGTCAGCCAGCTTTTTCTGATAGTACTGTTCTATTTTACAGTACTTTCTAGCATGAATATTATAATGTCATATTTGGAAATAGTTAATTTACTGCATTCATTACAAGGTATATGTAAAGAAGAATTCTAATGAATTTGGCACCCTTCCGATCAGTAGCATCTCTGATTGCAAACTTCTTCAGTCTTGAGAAATATATAAACATCAATAAAATGCCATTTTTTGATAACTATTTATAATTGGTTTATGTATCAATTTATATATTTCAGAATTAATTTTCATTTTAAACTTTTTTCTCCTAAAGTATATAGTTTCTCTCAAACTATATATTTGTGATATAATATCATGACCTAGTTAGAGCTTTCAGAGTTCCTCAATGCTTCCGCTCTGTATAAACAAGGTTTTAAACCCTCTAATATAGATCAATACCTATATAAAATTTGGGATAATAGTATTATTCCAAGACATTTTCTTAGTATAAATAATGCAGATAAAATAGAAGCCATACTCTCAAATCGCGAGAGTCATTCTTTATATGAATTCATTGATAGAGATGAGCCTCTCTGGCCTATTTTGATTTTAACTTGCCTGTAGAAATATTAGATGCTATAACTTCCTAGCTTTCATACAAACAAGTGAAAAATTTATTATGTTATGCTTTTAGAGATACTTGTCTAGAAATTTTTCCAAAATGAAATAAAGAAACTATGTCTATTGCTAAAAGTAATAATAAAAATAAATATCTCTATGTGTCTTAACTTTTGGTATGAGACTTTCAAATATTGCTCAAGTTGCGATATTCACTGAGCTTGTTCGTAAAAAACTTCTGACAGCTCTATAGACAAATAGCATTATTGATAATATAGCAAACAAATATTCATTCTTTTTATAATACTTAGATCACTCAAATATGATAAAAAAAACAGAGAAACATGTTTATGTAAAAAAAGCTATACATCCAAAAGATGAAACTATCTTTGATTTCATGATTTGACCGTCCAATGATGAATCAGAAGTTGTAAAAAACCCTTTCTTAGCTGTTCTAGAACCAGAAGTCAAAATATGTAACAATACAGATAATGAAACCTCTCAAACAGAATTCAATTTTGTGGAATCATTACTCAGAAATAATTGTATTAAAGAATATACTCTCTCATTCCCTTCAGATAACATTCCTGACTTGTTTCCATTGATACGCAACTCTCTATCATATTGGCTATTATGTGATCAGAAGCATATAAATGGAAATACATATATCATACAAAATAAAAAATCATATAGATTTTATTATTATCGTGCTAATCAGGGTAGAAAGCCAGGAATGAGAAATTTCTCAATAAAGCTCACTATTAGTGAAACTGCTTTAGATAGAAAATAAAAGCTTCTAAGTTCAGTAAAAATAGACTGATCTAGAATATCAGACCCCAATAACTATTTTGTATGGGGTGACTTACTATGTATGTCTATTTCAGATAAAAAATTCTCTCATGTTGAAGTTTATGAAGCGATTCAGACATCAGTTGCCTATATTCAGTAAACTTCACAGACATGGATACTCAAATTCAAAGATGTCTTGATTTTGATATAGCATCCAAATTAGATCTTGTCAAATTTGGGATTAATATAATTGAACATGAAAGGGAATCGGTAAAATTAAAATCATTGATAAGTCAAGTAGTTACCAAAGGTATAATACTTTATGATGATATTAACTTTCTTCTATATTCTTTAAAATATTTATGTTCAATTATGAAGTACTTTAATCTTTTCCTAGGATTTCTAACAAAACTGATGAATAAGATTAATTCTGAAATTATGGATCCCATTCTCTAGCATACGAAGAATATAATCAGTGACAAAAATGTGAAGCTTCACAAATATCTTTAGAACTAGTAGACATATCTAGTGCAAAAACCAGAAAAAAAGTCTCGCTCAATTTTGATCTTAAAATCTATACTTCAGTAATGCAAAAAAAATATTATTACAAATTTTATTAGGAATAAAGTTCTGGGTCTGCATCTTCATTTTGCAACATCAGATTTAAGTAAAATTCTTGGATACTTTAATAATGCTATTCAAGCTAGAAAGCTAATTGTTATGAATGAGACAAGAATGTCTAGTGAAGAATGGCATAGGTTTAATGAACATCTCAAATTCCTTATAACAGAAGGAAAGTAGCTATAGAATGCAAAGGTCTCGAAATTATACAAATAAATGATTATGCTGGATATATAATTATAAGCAATTAGGATGCCACACTCAAAATAGATATAGGAGATTTTCATATAGTCTGTTTTGATATTTTGACATGCTACATTATATTTTAACCAGTTAGGAAGAGTCCTAGACCATCCTGATATACCAGAAGTAGTTATGACATATCTTTTTAATCGTGATATATCTAACTGGAATCTAGAAAAAATCTTTTCTACAAAAATGAAAGTAGATACAATGCAGGACCAGCTTCCCAATCCCATTTGATTTATGATTGATTATATTGCATCTTGGCCTGTTGATAATGTAGACAAGAGAAGTCATATAACATTATATCAAAATTATCTTGATTAGTGTGAAGAGAATGGCAAAAAACTATTAGCTAGTAAAGTTGCTGGAAAGAAGTTTCTCAAATTGGAATTGAGAGTAAACAGGTACGAGCGAGTAGTAAAAAAAGGGAATAATAATATATTCTCAACCGTCTTAAAATTATAGCCAAGCTTCATGAATCTGACCTAGGTGATATGGAAGAATTTTCTGATATATCTCAACCTGACTTACCTGATAATGAGATAGCAGACATACCCATATTCAATATGCCAGAAATTATTCATTCAAAAATAATCCCGTCTCAGCCAGAAAAGAGTACACCTCCATCTAGAACTAGTAAAGATAAGAAAGTAGATAAATAGGATGAATTGACCTGTGTTCCAGTCATCTCAATATCTGGAACATCTGATATATCTGTGACTTCTAAAACACCTGAGCCAGTAATCGATGAACTTGAGACTAGCAAGTTTCTCAATTCCAAGCCTATCAGTAAAGTTGTGAATATGCTTTCTAAAGAAATAATGCTTTATAAAGAGATTTCAACTGATTCCCTAAAGCCTATCAATCAAGTATCATCTGCCATTCTCCTATCCAGGACTCAATGCGAAAAGCGTCTCAGAAAAAAGGCAGTTGAACTTAGTAAGGATTTAGATGTCTTTATAATCATCACTGAGAAAGACAGGCTCGATTTCATCATATTTCAGGATAAGATGGAAACTGACGCTTGGATGTGTAGTTATGCAGAAGAGATAAAAAAGATCCAAAAGAACATATAGACATGGAATATAGGAAAGATTGATAGGAGAAGAAATAATCCGCTGTGATTTTGAGGATGAGAGAGTTATATTCTTCTGGCTTGTTACTGACGAGAAATGAAAAAACAGTAAGCATACTTTAGGAGAATGGTATTCTTTGTTAATTGATTAAGCTAGATATATTTATAGATAGGTATTTGTGATAGAGGATTTTTTTTCTCCATTCACAAATATGAAATATAAAAAATTCAGAGTTGAGAGCGTTTCGCATAAATTTTAAATATGAAAGTAAGTATATATAATAAAGAAATGTCTTGTAATTAGTTATTAGTTTGAGAGACCCATTTCTGTAAAAATCTAGTACAAGAATAATATTGTGCCTCCTATGCATTCAAAATATGAAAGGGTGTAATAATCCCACAACCATGTAAAGAATATAGTCAAGGCACTAAATCAGACGTTCAGCTTTGTGTCTCATATGGACAGGGTAAGAAAAGAGCATATATATATTATAAATAGAAGTATATAAGAAATGAGTTAAAGAAGTAATTTTAATATTTTCTCATATGCTAATTAAAAATATCATTTTCATAAGTACTAATCAACTATTATCAGTTTCATAAATGCTAATTTCAGCAATCCAAATTCAAGAATCAGACACTTCTAATGAAATGCTTAACCTTCTAATTGGATATTGGATCAAAACTAATAGAAGCTATTCCAGAAGCTAATTCAAGAAGATTTCAGATATGCTGATAGACTTTCAGATTATTTAGAAGATATTGGAATCATATATATTGGTGAATCTGAATTAGATCCCTTAGCTGACTTTTACCATCCAGCCTTAATTCCGCCTCTATCTATCTTAGCAAATAGATCATATATTTACAAAAGATTCCCTATTAGTATAGAATCTGACGTTAAGGGTGATATGTATTTATTTACTCTGAAAAAAAATAAACAGTTTTCACTTTAGAATTAATTCAAATGAATTATTCTAGTGATAGCTTGTCTACATTAACAGGAATAACTTGGAAGCGTAAAGTAACAAAAACTTGGAAGAATGACATGCTTATAAAACTCTTCTATTATCTGAATTTAACTCCTTCAAGGTATAGATCAGATGCTTTATATGATGTACTCACCAAGACAAATGCTTTAGAACCAGAGCATATTTTAGCTCTAGCATAAACATTTTACTAAATATTAACATTTAGATCTTAAACCATTCATATCCTTAGGATAGGGGTTCCATAACTATATATTTTTTTCATATATCATATCTACCTGCAGATTTCAAATTGATGAAATACCCTTTTTGACTAGATCATAGGTTATATTATTTTTTCGCTTCTCTGATATCTTTCACCAATCATGAATGGATTCTAGAGGAATCATGTAGTAAATTATCAGGAATATTTTTTTTTGAATTAAAAAATAAGTAGATTAGTATAACTAAATAATAATTGCAATCTACTTATTATTAGCATATCTACTAAAGCAATTGCTCTAAAAGCCCAAAACTAATACTTTGTTTCAATTTTAAAACAGTTCCTAGAAAAGTATAATTTGTTAGCTGACTCCACTCTAGAACAATTAAAAGAATATACTTCAGAACTTAATGTTCAATTGTATGATTGGAAGGCTCGCAAGTGTATTAAAGATCTCTTTGCCAGATACACTAATAAAAGACACGCATTTAGCAAAGAGCAGATAGGGATTCTTGTATCAGACAAAAGAAAGGAAAAGCTCACCATTGGAGAAAAAGCTTTCTATTACACCAAAACTGGTGACAAGTGAGATATTTATATCAATGCTCTTGATTTAGATTCAAAAAGTAATTACAATAAAGAAACTGTTACCTTCTGTTCACGACTCTCACTATTTCGTATCAAATTAGCAAAAGCTGGTATTTCTCAAGAACTTATTGATACTTGTGCCAAAGATCTGGATGTCACTACAGCTTCTAACAAAATTCAGAAAGAATAGACTGAGCAAAATTTAGCCGATAATTGATCAAGAATTCCACTATATTTCTCTTTAGCAAATGTACGTAAAAGGATTTAGTATATGGATGTTTCTAAAATTCTTACTCAAGAGAATCTTACAGATGTGATAGTGATGTTGAGTATGAGACTTACAGAAGTGAGATCTCTTCAGATCAGTCATTATGAAGTTGATCCCTCAAATCCTCCAGCATGGTATATAAATAGTTTTTCCTGGTATTGTACTGGATATACTAAGAATAAAGGAAAATATAAGGATAATCCAAAGCCTCATCTATTCGTTTCTATGAAGAAGGATCCAAGAACACTACTCATCTAGATTCAAGAAGCTATAAAGGCTAGAAGGTTGAATGACTTCACTTTTAGTGAAAATTGAAAAGCGTAATACTAGGGTATTTAGCGAATTCCTGAAACCTCATAGAATTGAACCTAAAATATTAAGAAAAATAGGAGGTAAGCATACTTTCAGAGTTCATGGCAGTTCAAATCCAACTCACCAGCAACTTGATCTTCTCAGTAAAAGAATATTGAGGTATAAGATTATGTGTCACAATGCAGGAAAAAATTATGCTATAGGTGATATAGAATCAGAAGATTCTGGTTCTAAATCTGACCATGAATCTGTTTCTGAAGCAAGTAATAGTTCAAAATCCCAAACACAGGCTTCTTATAAATTCATTTTTTATACCTTTAGTACTATAGGAGATAAGCCAACTGTTTAGTGAAATATTTTTTAGAGTTGATATATAAAAATAATTGAAAGCTTTTCTTCTAATGGTCTTTGAGCAATAGAGGATGATCACGTATTTTTATTTTTTTTTAAAGATACAGATAAATTATTTATGATGCATACAAGTGTTTTTAATATAGCAGAAGGATTAGAACAGATTTTATATTTCTTAGCGATAGATAAATCCCTCTATTCTACTCTATTTGTTTGCTGACTTTAGTATAGATGTGATAGATGTGATGCTCCTATTTTATGAAAACGTATTGAACTAAATGGTGTGGATGATTGAACTTGATTAAAAGATTATTAAAAATAGTATATAGGGAAGGCGTAAACCAATTTATAGCTCAAAATCAACTCATCTTAAAATATTAGACTATTGGCTTTCAAATAGAAAAATCAAAGATATTATACACACATTCCTGAATATAATTTATTTAGATTTTGAAAGAAGTACAGATTGTATAGGTAAAGTTCTAAAGCTAATAGCAGAATCATACCCAAATTTGAAGTATCTCAATATATCTGCTTTTCCTTATCTTTAAATAGAAAATAATATAGGTTTATCTGCAATCACCATAAACTAAAATATCTAAATATCTCTAATCATACAGAGTTTTCTGAAATATTAATTTGTAATGTTGTTTGCTCTTGCCTAAGGCTCTAATAACTCAACCTTAGCTATTGTGAAATTACTGATAAAACTATCAAAGAATTTCTAAATCATATTTTAATTTAAAAAATCTTAATCTGAAAGGGTGTTATAAAATTAGCAAAAAAGTTGTAAATAAGCTAAATCCAAATATCCACATAGAGAATTTTGAGAAAACTTTAACACACCTTGATCTCATTGGAGTGGTTATAAATCATCTTACACAAAACAATATTGCTAGTAGATAGATTCTAGCTCAGGGCCTTCAGAGTCTTTTTGATTTAAGTATGCAAGATAATTTGCAATGGTATTCTGATTCAGGGTTGGCTAGATCAATAGTCTGAAGTGATGATCATTAGCTCGAAAGATTTTTTTGCATCTAGATGTGCCCTGTGTGATAAAAAAAATATAGATTAGCTAACCTGTTCTAAACATAGACACTGACCAGTACTAGATGGATTTTTCTAATTGGAAAAAATCTCTGTATTATATAAAATGCATACAGTTAATTTACTTGATCAGCTTACATCAGAACTAATAGAATTTATTCTAAAAAATCTGTCGATACAGGATCTTAAAATGTTATACTATAAATAATATATGAAAAAATAAGGTGCTTCGTGAAATTCGCAAAAAATTAATAGTGGATTGTATATTCATTCGAGCTAATGTAACTGTTAAAGCACTTATTGATCCCAAATCTATCTATAGTAACATTAGTAAGATTAAAGATGAGCACCATAATTAAGAAGTTGCAACTCGGTAAGTTGCAACTTCTTGTAAATTTATTTTAATATAAAAATTCATAAAATGTTGCAACTTAAAGTGTTGCAAATTAAGTTGCAACTAGTTAAAAATTTTAAAAATAATTATGGGAACCATCTTTAAGTAAGATACTTATCAAAAAAATGGATTTATATATTTTTAAGTCAAGATATCCCGCAGTAAGAGACCTAGGTATTGGTGTGATAAATGCTAGCAAGAAAGTAATGAGAAGGGATGGGTTGATAGAGAAGAAGTTTCAGTTACTTTACCAAATATCTTCGATAAAATAGTATCCTCTTCATATATTAGTATAGCAAATTTTGTAGTTGTGGACAAGCCTGAATACGATTTTATTTTAGGTAATATTTGACTAGTAGGATTGGACATAATATTAATAAATGGGATGCAAAATATTGTGAAAAAAATGAAGAAAAAAGAGTTTATTATGTAAAAAATCAGATTAAAATATTATCTCCTTCATTATATACATTCTATGAATTATTATTTCCTAATTTCACCGCAAATGGTTTAGATGGGAAGGTCCTAATAACCAAGTTTTTTAAATATGATAAAATTATGAGAAATCTTGATCTAAGTGAATATTATGATTCGAAATACACTGAAACAAAGTCTGAATATTTGAGCTCTGAAGACAAGACTGAATCAGAGGGTAAACATGTTTATAGTAATAATGTGCCTCTTTGTTTAAGCTACTCTGACTAGTTCAGAGCAATAATTACTAGCTTAGAAGAATTTTTTGATCCATACACAGCGTCTGTCTCTTTTTGAATAAATGAGAAAAAAGGAATTTAAAATTTTTTCAATAAGTAAAGGTTGAAACTGATTCCAAAATTCTTAACTGGTCAGCCAAAATTTCTTTTTTCTTGATAAAATCCATGAATCAAGTTCCCAGGTTTTCTAAAAGTTGAAATAATCAGAATGTTTTTACCAATTTTGAATACTAACGTTTGATATTATACAGATATACAAACTGAAATAGATCTATTAAAGCAATATATTACCGAGCTTGAGGTTGAGCTTGAAGTCAAGAATTCTGAGATTCCTGAACTTAGAAAGAAGCTTGCTGAGATCTCAGCTGAGAACATGAAATTGAGACATATTATTGAGAAAAATGCTAAGCGTAATGCTAAACTTAAGGAAGTAGAACAAAAGAATACAGAACTTGAGGTTAGGCTTGTGATAGTAAAACAAGCTTTTGTGGCAGAATTACAGAATGATAAGAAAGCAATGATATCAGCTGTTGATGTATCAGACTCTGTAGTAGACCAACTTTAGTAATGTAAGCCTGATGGCGAAATGAATAATGTGATATCAGAGGTGTTAAAGGTAGTATCTGATAGGCCTTCACTTTACAAAGATAATAGAAAGACTAATGAATTCTTAGATTCAGTACATAAGAAAAAGGGTTGGTAATGAGATTAGGCAGAGAAAGTGGAAGGAAAAACAATTTCAAGCATATGCATCTGAACTTAGAAACTGTGAAAATTCTTCACATTCAGAAGGTATCAGAGAATTCAAAAATAATTGGAAGAACTGTGAAGATTCTTTACAATCAGAATTATGTGACATGAAGGAATTTAAATCTGATCAATATGATGAAGTTATTGCCAAGTTAGATAAAAATATAATTGTGGAATAAGACTTAAAGCAACAGCTATCATCACCTATACATACATGTATATCTACATCAGATCAAAGTTTAGAAGAACAGGATTCATTTTCAGATACTGTACAAAATATAGTTTACATGTTCAAAAAAACTAATAAGCTTAGTTAAGAAGCAATTTTATACTGATGCTATTTTATAGAAAAATATGATAAAAAGATTGATAACCTTATTGCTGGTGGAGTTAAAAAAAAATGCGACATCTAAAATATATCAAGAAATCAAACAGCTTTTATCTAATATAATGGATATGAATTTATGTCAAAAAATACTTAAAGCTAGAAAACTATTCAAGTTATTTAATACATTAGGACTAGAGAAAATTAACCAGGTCTCTTATAGTGCAAATTATACATGAAGTCGAAATGAAAACCCAAAAAGTCAAAATGAAAAGTCAAAATAGTCGAAAATACGTCATATCACATGATTTTTTATATATAGAAAAAACAAAAAAAAACAAAAGATGTACGATCTCGGTCAATATCGC